TGAATGAATTGTTATTGAACTGCATCCTAATACCTTTTTCATTATTCACCCTAGTACATTGGTAATCACATTAGAAACAGAGACACTTGCCTTAATTCCAAAAGCTTTCAGATAATACTTTTCTATCGGTTTCAGTCCCACTTGAGTTTTGACATATTTTGGATTCCCAGCAACTCGAACATGGATTGTGATTTGAAAATGGTTCTTCTTCTGGCAAACAAAAGCATCATCTGTTGTTGAAAAATTAAATCCTTTGTCTGTCACAATGTGGCATCCTATATCAGGACTATGAAAACAGGAATAAAAAATAGCAGCTGTAAACACAAAGACATTTCACATCCATTTATGTGGTTTTATACCAAATTTGATTTTTACTGATTAAATGAAAAGGGGAATATAAAAATCCAAATCAACAGTCCTACACTTTTTTTTTTTTTTTTTTATCATCTTTGTGGTTAAAAAAGAATGCTTTAAATATTAATAGTATTTTTACTTTCACACTTTGGATACATGAAGGTTAAGAATGGGGAAGCTTATATAGTTTTGCTTACAAGTGATGTATAAAAGGTCTCTATGCTTTCTCCAGCACACACAAGCTGATTTCCCAGAGTTCAGTGTAATACAGTATTACTATAAATAATTAAGCCTAAATAGTGCATGCGGTATTGTCATGCAAATAAACCAGACATCTTTTTTTAAAACCCTGAATTCCTACATCCAAGCTTCTACAGGAGCTTTTGAAGTCTAGTAAGGTTTTATTCAGACCAAATGAACCATTACTGACAAACACTGTAAAAATCACTAAAATGCATTGTTTTATGGCATTTGTCATACAGAATATAATAGGATTCTGTTCTGCTCATCAGGAGGGCCAATTTGTCAGCAGTAGGAAGAGATGAGTTTTATATCCTTATTTTCCCTGATCCAGAGCACATGGGGCAAAGGTGTCAAAAGATCTTTCTGACAGAACTGATGAATTGCCGTCCAGACAATGGTTCTGGACTGCTGATTTAAGTCACTGATAATCCTGAAATAATAGGACTACATGGCAAGTCTTTCTTGTGTGGAGAATAACTTTCCTCGTTAAGTTTGATAATTCTGATCTCTTGCCTGATGCTACTATGGAGTTCTCCGTTAGCCTGGCCACTAAAGATGGCTTTTCAGAACCAATCCATTCATTTCCTCATTATAAGTTAGAAGAACTTAAATGGATTTAGATTAATAAAATCTCTTAGATTTTATAAGAGACTTAAGGAGTTGATTTTTCTGCAAATGATGAATGTCCCTTTCACAGAAATTTTAATCATTGATTTTCTGAAACTGGGAGTAAAAAGCCTTCATAAATTATTAAATCATATTGCCATGATTTTTTATTTTTAATGTCTATCAGCTCTTTAGAACTACATCACTTACATTTCTTAAGCCTCCATATATACATTTAGAAACATCTTTTATTTACACATGACTGATGACTGCGTGATTGTGTAACAGTACAGATTTAGGTTCAAAGTCAATTTGGTAGTTAACATTCTAAAGGCAAGTGCAAAAAAATTGCTTTAACAAAGATATAGGGGTTAAGAAACAAAATGGCAAATCTCTGCTTCCTATGTAGAGTATTTAGATTGAACTTTAATCTGAATAATATTTGCCTAACTGGACTATTATCACCTTCACCCAATTATGTGCAATATCTAGGACTGATCCTGAAAGAGGCTTCAGTAGGAGCTGAGGTCAGCCACCTTTATTGACTAGCTACTGCTGCTAGACAACTTAAAATACTATGATCCCAAGTTTTATTTTCTCCAAGTCTGAGCCATTGTATGGTAGGGAAGGCAGTAAATTGGTGACGCACTCATAAAAAGGCATAACACTTGCCCGAGTAACTATTATAGGCAGGGCTCCTCCACTGCAACCATCCTGGATTACTAGAGGTAAGGGGTGTAGGACCATGCTCGTCTTCAACCAACTCAACATAAGCATGCCTCCTCTTGGCTTGATTAGTAATACTGGCATTGTTAATCAAGCCAACAGCATTTCTTCCATAGCATTTGGTGGATGATTTATACTTGGCTTGTGTAGTAACCCAAGCTGAATGGGAGAAGAAAACAAAAAAAATCTCCCTTTGCTCTTCTTCCCTCTCCACTCAGATAATGGAGATAGTCTATCATTTTACTCTGTGGATCAATTTCTAACAGCCTAGTCCTGAAAACTGTCCACACATGAAGGTCATACCATAAGATCCATGGGTCAGAGAGCTTAGCTTGCAGGATCAGATCATAAAAGCTTACATCATTGAAAGGTCCATGGATACAAATCGTTCAACTGAATTCAGTGAGGTTGCTAACATGACTGATGTTTATAAAACATTGCAAGATCAGTCCCTTTATGTTTGGAATGGGCATATTTTTTTCTGAAAATGCTGAACACGCCTCTGAAAAAAAAAATCAGACTTTTTTAAAGAGTCTCAGGGCTTTCCGGAAACGCACACAAAAAAAATCACAAGGTGCTCCTGATAATCTTGATCCAAGACTTAGGAGTTCAATAAAGCTTGAGAAGCTTCTAGGTAGCGCTGGGCCACATAATTTCCAAGCAAGATGAACTATGCAAATACAGAATATTAGTTCAACCTCCTCTTTGCTTTTCTAACCAAATTGGCACTTACTTGAGACAATTCATTTCAGAACAGAGTCCCCCCTGCTTTGGCTTATGAAGGTGAAGATATCAAAAGTTGAGAAAAAGTTGGGAAAAAAAACTCTCTCTCTCAGAAAACTACAGAACCCTAAGAAAAGGGCAAGTTAATTTGGTTGGGTTTAATAACATTCTACCTACATTTATCAGTGACAGGTTCTTCAGAAACCAACAGGATTTAACATTAAACCAAGAAAATCTGTACATTGGGAACATAACTACAGCGTATCTTGGGACAAAGACTGATGATTTTCCCCTAAGTAATACAATAGCCCTTTTTCCAAAATAATGGTCGTAATGAATCTATTTAGGTTTTTTAATGGTCACCATCATATTTATTTATATTATCAAAGTGCCTCTGTTTATTAATGTAGTTTATGTCAGGATATTAATTTAGAGCATCTGTTACAAGTTCCGCACTTGGGGGAAACTGAGTAGTTGATCAGATTGTCATCTCAAAGACACAACTTGAAATGTAGCTAAGAAGGAGCATTATGCATTGGTAATGAGAAACCACTTCTACGTATGCAGGGATCCAAATCACAAACTCCTCTCCAATAGGATGTTCATTGGTTCCAACAGCAAAGACAGCAAAGCTTGAAGTGTTACAGATACTAAACCATCTTCTCACCCCCTAGGACACAGTTGGCCAACCTCTGGCATGGGTGCCACAAGTGGCATGCACAGACTGTATGGCACACAGCAGACTGCAGATGGAACAGGTAACAGTGTCAGGGATGGAGAATAGGACAGGGAGCAGAAAGCAGAGCAGCGGGTCAAACAGGGAGTAGAAAGTAGAGCAGCAGATTGGGTAAGGGAAAGGGATTGGAGTGGCACATGGGAAGAATGTGGGGCTAATTTGTGGCACGCCTGCTGAAAAGGTTGGTCCTCACTGCTTCAGGGTGCACAAACAAACAAATTAGAGCTGGGGGGAGCAGGGACTTGCACAGTGCAGCTAATAGATTGTAACTTTCTATGCTCACTTTTACCCCACAGTAGATGTGCAGCAGGGCAGCCCCACACCTGCTGCCATTGGTATTTTTGTGCATGCTCCCCCTAAAAGGAACTACCTGGGGCTGCTGCCCTGGTTGCCCCTTGGTCCGTTATGCTACCGCCCCAAAGTGAAAGCTAACCCAGGGTAACTTAGCTGTGTTTCACTGAGGTTTGTTCAGTCACCCAAGCTGCATAGGATTGGAACAGAAAAGCCTCCTTTTAACTGTCTTCCTGTGACTCAGGAAGGGGAGATAAAATCTGATGCACGAGTTACAGTTTCACTTCAGCTTTCTGCAAGGTAAGATCAGGAACTGCCAGTTACTGCAGGTCAGCTGCTTCTCAGCAAGTCCCTACCCACTTTTAACTTAATACAGTTTGTTCATTTGTCCATATACACTGGTCCTTCACAACAGGGTTGAATGTGGAACAGCATAAAAAAATGTGTACAGCTGCTCTGACAGTGTACCTTGGTAAGAGACTTCAGTAGCCAGTGTGGATACTGGTTTACTAACATTGCTTTTCAAAGTGGTCTTCGGCTTTCCCACACATTTTGGGAGGAGTAGGTCTGAAGGGAAATATTTTAGAAGTCTTTTGTCACAGTGACTAATGACTTACTTCGGCACTAAGAGATGAACAAGCCAACAAGATGGAGTTTCTATTAAAAGAGTTTGCTGCCCAAACAGTACAACAGGGGGAAAAAAAAAGGTTGGGGAGGGAGGGCAGGGGGAAAGAGTGAACAAGCTGTGACCTTTCCAAGGGATTATTTTTTGTGTCAAACAAATATTTACAATTTTGTTGTGTAAAGAAAACTTTAAACTGATGAGCTGGCAGATTTTTGGTAGTGTAGGTGATGACAGCTTATTTTGTAGTAACAAAATGTGTACGCAACTTTTTAACTTAAGAGTGTTTTATTTAAGTCCTTAGATGAGGACTTGTGTACCGTATGTGCAGGAGCTGTTTGTGCCAAGTTGTCTTGATAAAAGAAGCAAAAATCAAATGGATTTGAGTTAGCTGGGAAATGCTCCTGGCCCTGAATGCACCAAATCCAGTGTCCATTTGCTATAGTAAAAAATATACCCAAATACTTGGCATAAGTGTGCAACCACTGCTTAAAATTTGGTTATCTGATCTCTAGGCAGATTCAGGCTCAGTCCTGACTGTTATCTTTCTCCACCTCCAGTTTCACTCTGAGGAAGGATAACAAATGCTGAATCTGCAATTTATGTCTGCATCACAATAAAAAACAAATTCAAGAGTGAGCACTAATGCTTACAGTTTTTCATAATTACAGTTAAACAAGCTGCTCCAGTGCAAAGTTTGATATGGCTGCCATGTTAGAGCCTGATAGCATTTGTCCACAGCGGCTATATTCTGTTCATCACTGTCGTATTCTTGCATGTCAATGGCACAATCTTTAACAGTCACTGTAAAGAAATAAAAGTGACAGCTCATCAGCTGCTTGCATGACTAGCCAACATTCTGTAGAAAGATCAACATGCAAAAGAAAAATATCCCTCGTTTTCCTTTATACTATACACAATTATTTTGACATCTTACAAGTGGTTTTTAGCTTTTATGCTTTGAGAAATGTTAGGACCACAGGAAAGTAGGGCTGGGAGGGACCTCACAAGGTCATCTAGTCCAGCCCCCTGCTTAAGGCAGGAGCATCCCTGACCAAACCATCCCAGCCAAGTGTCTGTCTAGCCTGCTCTTGAAAACTTCTACAGATGGAGAGTCTATAACTTCTCTAGGTAGCCTGTTCCAATGCTTGACCACCGTTATAATAAGAAAGTTCCTCCTAATCTCCAACCTAAATTTCTCCTGCTGAAGGCTGAAGCCATTGCTTCTAGTCCTGTCCCTTATGGCCACAGAGAAAAACTCATCTCCATCCTCTCTGGTATCAAAGACTGTAATCAAATCCTTCCTTGGACTTCCTGGCCATTTTTACACATGCAAGCACTGCAGTGCCAGGCATTCTGAAAAGTGCCCAGTGCTGCAACACCTGCAGTTGTATAAGCAGCGAAATGCGCATCAGCGCTGAGAAAATGGAGGTGGCACGCTTTTGAACTAAAACACATGAGAGGTGCTTTAGTTCAAAAGCATGCCGCTGCCATTTTCTGTGTGTTGACATACATTTCACCACTTATACAACTGCATGTGGCACAGCACAGTTTGCCTCAGCTTGCGTGCAGCTGGATGTCTGGTGTATTGCGGGACAAAAAAAGTGTGTGTGCAATGCCCATTTAAACTAAATAACCCTAGCTCTTTCAGTCTTTTCTCATAACCCTTGCTTTCCAGGCCTCTCATTACTTGATATATCACTACTATTACTTGAGTAGTACCGCTTGTTTTATCTTACCACCAATATTTTACTTTGAAAAAAATAAAATTTGTCAACTAAGCACTTTTTTAGCTTGTTTTTTTAGCAATATCTAACAAAGAATGAACAGGTGTCTGGATTAGAGATCCCCTCCCCTTTTTATGAATTGCATATAAAAAGTCTGCCAATGCAGACTAACAGACATCATGAGGCTCCCTTCCCACATTCAAATATTCAAACTAGCTGGCGTATGATGTTTTATACAGATAAATATCCAAACTACC